TCCTTTCTCTTCTGTGCCAGTGGGATATGCCAAGTGAAGCCAAATCCTTCTACACTTGGTATTTCCGTCGCAGTGGAGGCCTGACTCTTCATGTGCTACCACAAGCGGTTCCCAGTTGAATAAATCCAAGTTAGAGCATCGGTATTCTTTCGAATGGCATAGATAAGACAGCGTAGCCGCTGAATTTTAGTTCTTTGCATTATGCCTACCAACCCGTAAGGGCCAGTAAATTTTCTTCTTATTATCTTCTCCAATATCAGATTAAAGAAGTCACATGAAAGCGATTCACCTTTTCTAAAACCTCGTTTGGTATCAAACGGCTCGGAGAGCTCCTTCCCAAATCTTATGGAGCTGGTGGTGTAGCTCAACTTCATTTTACACTGCCGTATTAATTTTGTGAGGATACCAAATTAAGACATTGCGGCATATAGGAAACTCCATTTAGCGCTGTGGAAAGCGGTTTTCAAGTCGACAAATATATGGTGAGTGTCGATCCTTTTCTCTCGGGATTTTTCCACGATTTGTGAATGCCTGGTCTATGTTGGATTTTCGAGGACTAAAGCCACACTAATAAGTCCCAGTCAGTTTACTACTTTCAATTCTGCTGCCATTCAATGGTGTGGAAAAGTGTTCCCTCCATAAGTTTAGAACGTTTTTAACATCGGTCACTAGGTCGCCATAGTTGTTCTTACAGGAGTTCGCCCCGGTCTTGGAACTTTCCTTAAGTCGAATAATTCTCTGGTAAAATATTCGGTCGTTTTTCCTGCCCGCAAGCATTTCAAGCTCCACGCACTCAAGTATTTCCGCCTCTCTCTTATTGCCGCAAAAACATCTCGCTTCACTCTTCAGCTCCCTACAACGGTTCCACATAGCTCGCGTTGCACCCGATCGCAGCGTGACCTTCTAGGTGGTATCTTTTTTGTCTGCAGCTTGTTGAAGAGAGGTCTCTGATGCTGGTGTGACGGCAGCTTTTCGAAGTTTAGCTTTCCTTGCATTTGGACCTCGGAGTGTACGTACGTCTAAAACACTGGAAGCGTGCCCTCCGTCTATCATAACATGACCTATTTGGTTTCTCGTTTTTCGATCCGGAGACAGTCACGTAGTTTGGCTTTTTATGCCTGAACCTAGTACTGCATACTACTATGTTTCGGGCCCCGGCGAAGTCAATCAGCCTCAGTTCGTTATCTGAAGTTTTGTCGTAGAGACTGAATTTGACGAAAGTGTTCCAAAGATCCCTTCCTTGTCCCTCCACCCCCTGGCATTGAAGTCACCAAACACGATTTTTTTTTAATCGTAACGGGGTCGGCGCTCGCATATGTTCTTTAAGTGCTCATTAAGGAGGCCCTGGGATGCTTTATCCTTCTCTCCGGTCGGGGCATGGACACGCTTTGATACGGATTGCCGCTAGACGCTCGTCCATCGGGATGGAAGACAGTATTCGACGACAGAGTCCCCCTCCCACCACAATAACTAAAATGTGCTCTTTGATCGTTTTTTTTTAATTGCCTGGAGCTCTTAAAAGCTCTTAATTGGTTATGTTTTTAGGAACATATTCTTAGTTCCGCTTTATATTGATATTTTAGCAACTATATATTTGCTATTTTTGTTTTCGGTGTTACGTATGTTTTTTGCTGCTTATAACACTTGGTGATTTTGCGTAGTTTTTTGCAGTTTACCTTAAAAACTGAATTTTTAAGTGGTTTCTGTATGTGCATTAGGGTGGCCCAATTTCGGAATTTTAATGCTCTTACCCCCTAAGATTGTTCTTTATAGAAAAAAACTTTACCCCTGCTTTTTTTTTGAAATATAAAAATATTAGAGATCGCTCAAATCACTCATAGTTTTCCGTGTGTTTTATATGGGGGAAAAAAATTTTTTTTGGAAATGGTATAGAATTGATGAAAATCACTCCCAGACTTCCAGTAATAATAACCATTGGTAGTATCCTGAATAGAACTAGAGTTTTCAGATCTAGATTTTTATTTTTTTTCAAGAATTCTATATCATTTACATTTACAAATACATGGAAAACTTTGAGCGCTTTGAGCGACCTGTAAATATTTTTTGATTTCGAAATTAAAAACCAGGGGTATGTTTTTTTCGGTATAGAACAGTCGTAGGTGGTGAGAGCATTCAAATTCCGACTTTACGTTTACTTGGACCACCCTAGTGTGCATACACATTGATGTGTACCTATGTAGGTAAGTAGCTATGTATTTCTCAATTATTATCACGTGCTCTTACTTACTTATAATTAAATATATATACTCGCTCATTTTCGATCTTAACCAACAGCGACAGCGACCACTCCACTAACACCTTCAGCAACAGCAAAGCCAACCACAAAGTCTCATTACCATTTGAAATTCCAAAGTGGATCCATTGCCTCTGTTGGCCTGACTTCAGTTGCGAACTTTAGCTTCTTTTTGCTCACCTCTTCGCCCAATTGGTTGCTGGTTGCTGGTTGCGGCGGCTTGGTTTTTGTTTTTTAAGAGGCTTCTTCGTAATTTTTTACTAACTTTGTACTTGTTGTTGTTATGCCATTTTTGGTAGTAACAGGAACTTGAATCTATTTTTCTGTGGATTTTTTTTAGGTAATTTGTGTTGCTTATTTAAATATTAAAATTTCTTTAATCTGACGTTTGTATTTTAGCCATCGACATGGTTATTACGTTTTTAATAAATTAATAAATTGGTATTACGTTTTTAATAAATTTGTTTGTATGGAATTTCTACTCATGTGACTCGAACCCATTTACTTTAGTTGCGTCTGGTCTTTGCACACGTAAACAGTTAGGCAGTTGAAGAATCTTGCTGGAAGCAATTGCTAATATTAGCAAGAGGCTAATCGACCTTGACGCCCTTCTTCTTCTTCTTATTTGGCGCTGTAACCGCCTAAGCGATTTTGGCCGAGTTCAACAAAGCACGCCAGTCGTTTCTTTTCTGTGCCAACTGACGCCAATTGGAAATGCCAAGTGAAGCCAAGTCCTTCTCCACCTGGTCTTTCCATCTCAGTGGGGGCCTTCCTCTTCCTCTGCTACCACCAGCGGGTTCCGAGTTGAATACTTTCAGAGCTGGAGCGTCGGTGTCCATTCGAACGACATGACCAAGAGAGCGGAGCCGCTGCATTTTAATTCGCTGCACTATGTCCACTATGTTGACGCCCTATCGACGATAATTTGAAAATACTGAAGCGCTAAATGGAACAACTCATCTCTCTCTCTCCAAAACTGTCCAGACTGACACAGTGCCTCAAATAGTTACTAGGAAAGGCTTTGAAAAGCAAACCGGACCAATTTTCGTTGGTTTAAAGCCGTTTTTGGCATAATGAAGAGACCCCTGCAAAACTGAAAAAACTATGTAGAGTATGTCTGGACTTAATTGGCATCTAATAGCGTAAGAAAGTAAAAACTGATCTTATGCACTAAGTAAAAGATTCCAAAGCAACGTTTTCCTCCAGGACGAGTTTTTCTGCAGCTTTCCGACAGGGTCAAATAATTCTGCCTGATCCGCGATATGAAGCAGTCGTGTAAGCTCAAACATCAGTGCTAATATTGTGGAAATTGTACTATATCACCGAATGAAGGTGAATTTTTTGAGCCTAATTGTACTTTTTTCCTTGTACAAAAAAATAATAACAATTAATATTTGCCGCTCACAGTTTTATTGCGTGTTTGGCCGATCTTCGCATGCAATTTTTAGTGTACGCCTTGAGGTTACAAATTTAATAAATTACGACGACCGCAAGTGGCAAATGATAAGGATTAGCAGAAATACACTCGGAGGTTTGCCATTGGCTGCCGAGAGTCGTCCGCTATACAACTACACCTTTTCCAACTGTATTTCAGAGAAACCTAAATGTATTTCAGAAAACCACAAATTTATTTCAGAAAAGCTCAAATGTGTTTCAGGAAAGCGTAAATGTGTTTCAGAAAAACTCAGATGTGTTTCAGAAAACCGCAAATGTGTTTCAGATATGCAATATGCCTTTCAGAAAAACACAAACCCATTTCAGAAAAGCTTAATTTTATTTCAGAAAACCGCAAATGTATTTCAGAAAACCACAAATCTTTTTCAGAAAAGCTCAAATGTGTTTCAGAAAAGCGTAAATGTGTTTCACAAAATCACAAATGTATTTCAGAAAAACTTAAATGTATTTCGGAAAAACACAAATGTATTTCAGAAATCCATAAAAGTATATACTTTAGAAAATGCAATTACTAATGTATGTAGTATGCATGGAGATAAACTTAAAAAAACAAATATTTTATAAAATACGCAGTTAATATTCAATAGTAATTTTATGCGGTAACGAGTAATAAATTTATTAAATGGAACTAAAGGATAATTGCACGATTTGCATGATGGACATGCGCAGAAAATCAGTCGTGCGTTTGCTTCCATGTGGACATTTATTGCACGCAAAATGTAGTGGACCTGTCATTGTAGAAGAGAAGTGTCCAATATGTCGAGGAAATATTGAAGGTAAGTACTCGTACATATAATAACATATACATCTAAATAAATAAATAGCATTTTATATTTATCTATTTATGCATATAAAACATTTTTGTGTGCATATAACGAGGTTCTGGAAAAAACTCATTACAGGAAATATAACAACGAGGACAGATTGCGGATTGTTGAGGCCGCTAATAAGGGAGAAGACTGGTGCAGTTTAGCATCATCTTTAGATATAGTTTATAAAACTGCTTACACATGGGTGCAATCCGGCAGAGTCGTGACTCAAAAACGAGGTGGAGAGAATGAAAAGAAGCTGACTGAAAACGAGGTAGCTGTAATGGTTCGATGGGTGGAAGAAGACTGTACTGTCACCTTAAAGCAGTTAGTCTCCAAAGTGCAAACGTATTTGCACATCGACCGCTGCAAACTACTTAGAGGGTAAATTATTCACCCTCAAAAGCGTGCACCATATACCAACGACGATGAACACGTTGGAAAACAAGCAGAAACGTTCCGAATTTGTATCAGCTTTGAGTGGTTTTATTCAGCAAGGAAAGTAAATAGTTTACATTGATAAAACCAATTTTAACTTGTTTTGTCGTTGTGCAAAAGGTCGCGCACGATCTGGGACGCGAGCAGCAGTAATACTGCCGCCATCAAGAGAACCAAATGTACATTTAATCGGTGCTGTAAGCGTAGCGGGTGTGTTATCAATGGAAACGCGACGCGGCTCTTTTAAAAAAGAGAGTGCTGGAGAGTGGGTGAAGGGGATCCTCGAGAAGTGGACCGGTTTGGGAAATAATTTGGCGGACTTAGTTATTGTGTGCGACAATGCACCTTGCCATGCTGGACTGGAGCAAGTTGCCGCCAATAATGGATCGGCTACACTTTTGCGTCTTGGGCCATACTCGCCAATGCTCAACCCCATCGAAAACGTATGGGCGAAAACAAAAGCTTACGTAAAAACGCATATTTCACTTCCCGCTGTGAATGGACCTGGAGTGGTCGAAAGGCGTTTGCAGTACTTGGAAGGCTTAATTCACGAAGCAAAAGAAACCATTGCTACTGCGGATTGTGCTCGCGCTATAAAACACTCATCCATTTTTTCTCTGATGCTTTGGCATTACGCGACATGCCTGTAGGAATGTAATTCTTTTACTTATTTTTTAATAAATTCGCACACTCAGAAGTACTGTTTGGTCGTTGCTTATATAATTCTCACTTAATTGGGAAGACGATGGGGATAAAAATTTTGGGAACATACATACATTTGTATTTTTCTGAAATACATTTGTGATTTTCTGAAACACATTTCAATTTTTCTGAAATACATTTCCGCTTTTCTGAAATAGATTTGTGGTGTTCTGAAATACATTTGTGGTTTTCTGAAAAAAACTTGAGCTTTTCCAAAATAGGTTTTCGTTTTTCTGAAAGCCATATTGAATATCTAAAATACATTTGCTGTTTTCTGAAACACATTTGAGTTCTTCAGAAACACATTTGCGTTTTTCTGAAAGGAATATTGAATATCTGAAATACATTTACGCTTTTCTGAAACACATTTGAGTTTTTCTGAAATAGATTTGTGGTTTTCTGATATATATTTACGTTTCTCTGAAATACAGTTGGAAAAGGTGTAGTTAACCCGCTTGGCGTTAAACCCCAAAATTGAGTTTAGCATCTCAAACAGGTGGCAACTCTCTTAAAAACCTGGAAAAATTTAAATATGAGATGAAGATGAAGATGAAGAAGATG